AGGAGGGAAAGCAGGAGAAGGAATGGGAAACCAGGCAGTCACAGGAGATGGGTACGCAACTCCTACTCCAACCTATGTCTTCCCACCAAGAATGGTCTGCCACACTCCAAGCCTTGGGAGATTCAAGATAACTTGTGTCCTAAGTCACCTATGAAAAGTCCGTGGCTACTTATGCTCCCAGGCTCTTGGCCTAAAGGAACAGTGTGTCAGAGTCTGCATGCTCAATTCCCAATTCCAGTAAATCTCCTGGAGCCGGTTTGTTTCCAGTAAAGGGTTCTTTATTTAGAAGCAGCATACAGCATTCCATAGATTGCTGAGACTGACCCTCCCCGGCCAGGGCTCTCCTTTTAACCCCCTTCTACTCTATTTTCCTGCTTGCTTCTTTCGCACCTCTTCTTTGGTCTCACAGTTGTTCGGCCTTGCTGGCGCCTCGAGGCGAGATAACACCTCATCTGGCCTTAGTTGTTTATTCTCCATCTCCCCTCTTTCCCTTTATGGCAGGAACAAGCAAGCATCTAGACAAATAATGAGTCCTGCCTAAACTAACATTTGCATTACTAGCTAATTAGCACATACTTGTCAACATTATAAATTTTCTAATAACCTTCTAATAGCCTTTTGATAGTTGCTTGCGTAGATCCTGACACAGTGCCCTTCTCACTTGGGAGCCAGGGTGATGGGGTGATAAAGGTTCTAGTCTCTCCTCAGCTATGGAAGCTCCCCCAGTGACTTTTGGCCAGTCATTCCTCCTCAGCCGAATCTATCTCATGGGTTGTCATGGGGGAAAACAGGAGTAGGGAGTGCTTTGTATGCTACCTTGAGCTCCTGAAGGAAAGGCAGGATAATAAATATTACTCCCAGGAGTAAACTAGCCCATGTTCCATAGATAAAGACTTAGATCAATGAGCTATGTGCAATCCCAAAGTTCTTCAAGACCCTGGAACCCAAAATCACAGGAAGCCATGCCTTTCCTGATTAGCTTCAGCAGGAGACTCCAGAAAGCTGATGAATAAGCTTAACACCCTGAGTCATTAAAAAATCAGAGAGAGCAGGCCCCAAATTCTAGCCTGCTCCTCCTGGTGACACAGTGCCTCATTGGAGCGGGAAGTCCCTCTAGCTTCAATGAAAGAATGCTCTGCTTTCCCACCGAGAACACCTCATCCAGGCGGAAGCCCAGGAGACCATGGACCAGGACATTCTAGCTCTGGCTCCTTGCAGGAGGAAGAGGAGGAGGAGGAGATGGCGCAGTGCTCAGTGATGACGAGTGAGAGCTCAAGGGCTTCAGCAATCCAGCTGCTCCTTAGAAGGGCGTCTGAGCACCAGGGAGCACATTCAATAGCAGAAGGGTTGAGTTTGGTGCAAGAGAATGGGGAGAGGGTGCAAATCTTGGACTATCTGAGAGGAGAAAAAATGAAGTGGATTCTTCCTGCAGCTCCTGATAACACAGAAATGATAGCAGACTTTGGACGTTATATTTTTTATAATATTTTATTAAAAATTAAAATTAAAAAGATAAAAACTAATACTAAAAAAAAAGAATAAAAACTGAAACGTGGAAAAAAGAAAAAAAAAAGAAAGAAAAATAGAAAAGAAAAATAAGAATATAGTAAAGGAAAAGAAAAGAAAAGAACCATAAAGAAATGACTTTCCT